GGGGCGGGGCGAGCCATGGCGGAGCCGCGGCGGGAGCCCGGCTACCTGGCGCGGGTCTCGGAGTGGGCGGACGCGCACCTGAGCTTCGTGCGGGTGAGGGAGGCGCGGCCCCGGCCCGGCGGGCAGCACGCTCGGCCGCCGGGGCCTGCAGGGACAGCGGGGCCGTCTTTTCTAGGAGCAGGACACCGGCTGCCTGCAGTCAGGGTTGGCGGCAGTGTTGCCAGGAGCGTAGATACCAGAGCGGTGCAGGATGGTTTGGCTAGGGATGATCCTGCCTCCGGCTGTCCCCGCCGACCCCGCCTCTCTCGGCTGTGCATGAAATCAGCAGGGTGACTGGGATGAGCGTTGCTCTGGGATCTGCACTTAAGCAAACGCCACCAACTGTCAAATTTTGGGAGGGAATTGTGGTCGGGAGGGTGCTTTAAAACGACTGGGGGGAAAGAGGTGTCATTTCTGAAGGCTTAGTTTAATTCCAAGAGATGTTTGGAGAAGAGCTTTCATGCAAAAGTAACACTTTTGTGGTGTGAAGCTAGGTCAGGATGTGGCCTAGTAAAGCTGTAAAACAAAACAAGTCATGTCTGACCCATGAGAAATATTAGGTATCAGGCAATCGGTTAAAAAAAAAGGTCTCTCTTAGGTACCCATTACTATCTGTGTCCTTAAGACTCTATTTTGAGAGCATGATGTCAGGTGATAATAGTAATACAAATAGATCATTTTGCCTGTCTTTTCTAGGAGAAGTTGAGAGAGCTAACTCATCCTAGAAAAGAGGCAAAATGATCTATTCAGGCAGTCAGTTAAAAAAAAAAATTCTCATTGGGTCACTTGAGCTTGGTAAAGTTACTTTGCTCGACTCTTGATAGATTTGAAAGTTTTTAATTGTTCTTTTTCCCCCCTACGAAACAGCTGCACTGGTTTCCTAAGTAATCCTGCTGTACGTAACTTGCTTATTAACGTCTTACTTCCAGGACTGTGAAAAGTTCAGTTGGATGTTGTTTGGTTTTGAGTGCAATCCTTTACTGTTATTTTAACCACCTGGGTTAACCAAAACACAAATCAGAGGACTTGTCCAGTGTTGGAGGAGGTGATTTTTGTATTAATCACATTTAAGTGTGAGATTTAAAAGTTAAGTATTTAAACAATGTTTTCTGCAGAACATCAGTACTGGAATGGCTGTAGCTGGGATCATTTTATTTGCAAGGAGTATTAAATTGGTGAGTCAATATTTTGGTATCCATTTATCATTTTTTAGTTTGACATTTTGGGCTAGATTGTCTTTCCTGCTATATCTTCCTTGTGCCTCTTGTGGTGGCACAGAGGAGGCTGATAAGGTGCAGACCCAGTTGGGAGAAGGGGGGGAGTGCGCTGGTGCACTCGCACCCCTCTCTGATTCCTGGCCCACCCAAAATTTAAAACCAACTGCCTGGCAGCGGCAGCAGCATTGTTAGTTAGGCAGTGCTGAGGGAGTCAGTTGACTTCATGGCTCATTGTTGTCTGCCTTATCCCTTTTAAACACTTCGTTCCACAGAGGTTAACCGTGCTCTCTCCTTTTTAATGGTCTTGATGTTCCACTGGGCAAGTTAACGTTTGTTCTGCAATTCTGCTGTTTGTTAGCTGCTCCTAAAAATGAAGCTCTTATTTCACAGCCCCGCAGACTTGTTTTTAACTCATTCCAATGAAGTTATATTTGCTTTTGCTTCCATCTTAAACTGAATAATACAGTTCTAGGCCCTTGCATATTACTACAGTTTCTGGTTTATTTTTAAGTGGAGAAAAATGTGGTGTTCTGTATACGATGGTGCACCTCACCACGTGAACACCCCTTTTCAAAATTCTAGATTTGCCCATGAGGCTGACAGTTGGGTTAGTGGCCACATGGCGTTTTGGTATGCGATAATTCAGGTGACCATAGGTGACTTATCCAGAACATTGATTTGTTCTTTTGATTTTCCCCAAAGCGGTTCCTTTACAGCTGGGATTCGAACTGCAGGGCTCCTCATGAGCCAAATCTGGACCCACCTCAGACAGCAGGGCAAGTGATGATGGGGAGCCACAGAAAGAACTGTTGTTCACCTCCTGCCATGAAATGTGTCCCCAGTGGGACCCAATGCCTTGAATTTTCACAGTGATGCCTCCCCAACTCCCTTGTCTCACCCTTGAATTTCCAGCTTCTCCAGGAGCTTAGCAGTCCAGGTGATGTGGATCAGCAGGCCAGATGGGCTAGATGTTTGACTCTCCCCACATAAACTTTAGGGTCATTGCAGTTGGCACAGTTGAGATAAGATACCTATTCTGAATTGCTCCTTTAAACTAGTCCAGCGATTTGGGAATTTGTAAGCTACAGTTGTTACCTACAACTGTCTTTTTTGACCTCAAAAGAAAGCTGCACTGGTCAAAGAAGGGTTATTCTTTAGTACCTGACATAATATATTTCAAATGTTCCTTTAAATGAGACAGTGTATGAAAGCATTACAAAAGGGCATGATGGCCATTCAAAGATTGTAAAAAGCTGAATAATTCATTTAGTTTTGAAGAAATCTTGAAGTGCTTGGTCAGATGAGTTAGCAGACTTGCCACTGAAGGCCTACAGGCTGTCTCTAAATCCTCTCTTCCATTGGTTTTCACCCACTACAACTACGTTTTTACTTTAGAATTGCACAAAAGTGTCATGTGTAACAGAAGAGCAATTCTAGGCTTTCCAATTTTTTTTTAAGATAGATACAGTAAAATACTTTAGTTCAGCTAGGTAATGTGTTTAGATAATTTCAAATGCATCTTGAATTTTTTTCTTGAGAGCTAAACTTCCAAGGCCAAAAATTTTGAGTCATCTTTAATTTCAAATTCTCTCTGGTCTCCTCCAACTCCCTTGTCTGTAAATCTGCTGTCTCTCCCACCAGAACATTGTTAGAATTACTCCCCAGCTTGACCCCTTCTGCTGAATTCCTTGTCCATGCAGTAATCCAGGAGTGTCAAATTTGTCCTGGGCCAGATCCAGGCTGCAGGGGCTCCTTCTGGGCCAGATCCATAGAGCCACATTTATGCAGCAATGTGGGTCTGGGGGAATGTAGCTGTGTGGAGCTGAGGGCATGCATTGGTGAGGAGCCAGGGGCATGTGACTGGACGGAGGCATAGAGCTGGGAGCATGTGGCTGCATGAAACTGCATTCAGGTAGTGGCATGGAGCTGAAGGCAGGGGTATGCAATGGCATGGACATGGACATGACTGTGGGCAGCAGCCCACTGACTCCATGACACCTCCTGATTACCGGGGAACTGAGTTTTTGGTTTCATGCAGAAAAGTGCTGATTTTCTGCTTTAAAGGAGAAAAGCATGGATTTTTTTCCTTTAAAGGAGAAAACCATGGGAAGCTGCAGGTTTCCCCTAGTAGGCTGGCAGCCTTCCAGCCTGCAAGGAGCTGCTTGGGGCTGTAGGGAGCAGGCAGTTGGGGAGGCAAGGACCTTCGCATGTGTGTGCGCAGGGGGCGGGCTTTAGGGGTCGGTGGGGAGCTGTGTGGCTGGTGCCCATGCTCTCAGGGATGGGCTAGCCAGGAGATGCTACCTTGGGGCTGGGGGGAAGGCAGCGGAGGTGGTCAGACCATCTGGCATAGCATGGGAACCCTAGCCCAGGGCAGGGAGTGCTATAGATGTTGTCCCCTCCTTCTCCCTCTAGCTTGCGCCAGGGCCAGACTTGCTCTATCGCACCCACACGAACTGGAGCAGTCATAGCCACTGCACTCTGGCCCGGGCAAGATGGGGCCAGGATCCCCTTCTGCTCCCCTTACTGCCTGCAGCATGGCCAGGACCAGAGCTGCTCTCAGCTTCATGTGTCTACAGTGCAGCGTGGTGCTGGTCCTTCCGGCCCCAGCCCCAGCTAGTGGCATGGGATAGCATGTGCTGCCCTAGCCGCTGCCTGTGCTTCCTCACCGCAGTGTGCTGCATATACTTCATGGTGGAAGCTGTCCCTGCCATGTTCCCACAGACCACCATCCTATAGTCTGTGCGGGGTGGGGCAGGGGCAGCTGGGGGCCCCTTCTGGCAGGCTGGTGGGGGAGCAAGGGGCTGTAGGTCAGGAGTGAGGGGCACCAGCATGGCTTGGGGAGGTGGGGGGTGTGGGTCAAGATTGAGTGGCACTGGCAGGGTCAGGGGGTTGTGGGTTGGGAGTGTGGGGCAGCAGCAGGGCCAGGGGGTTGTGGGTCGGGAGCAAGACGCAACAGCATGGGCAAGGCACTGACATATCAGGGCTGCTCAGTGCCACAAAGCAGCGGGGTGGGGGAAGGGGGTGGCGCGCACACAGCTGCAGCTGGACCTGTGTCCTGGTGAGCGAGGGAACAGGGAGCACTGATTTTTTTTTTTTCCCCACAGTAAAAAAAAAAAAAAAAAATCAAGATCAAATGCTAAAATATATTGGTATTTAGAATTGATTTTATTATAATGATTGAGGCACAGGTAAGCTTCCAAATTGCTTTAAAATGATAAATATATCAATAAAACATTGTGTTAAACTGATACTTGTATATATAGTGGCATTTAATTTTAATTATGGAAGAATGGGGATTTTGGATTTTCTTTTAAATCAGAGAATTTGGGATTTTTAAACAGAGAAATCCAGGATCCCTGCTAGTTATGGCTCTGTGCAGCTGTACACCCCTAGGTCCATGCTGCTGCCTGGCATTAGGAGCCAAGGCATGGACTTCTAGTAGCCCACCGAACTAATGGTGGGCTGGGTAGATCAGTTCCATGAGCTGGATCCAGCCTAGACTGTATATTTGACACCCCTGCTATAAACTCTTCCCACCTCACTTGTTGCATTTTTGTCTTTCATGAGATATCTTCATTTTCTGAATATCTGACAGTCTAAATGCTATGCTCAGGTAGGTTTACGTCTGGAAACCGGACCATATTTTGCCTGGCAGCTTCATTCAGATGTTGTCACATTTTTGATTGAGCCTCTTGTTCCTTCAAATTTCTCTGTAGACTTGCTTGGCCCATTTCCTATGTCTCCTATTATATCTTCCTAAAGCCTAAGGGGGAAAAAATGTGGCTGTGGCCACATCAGGCCTGCCAGGCCATTCTGTCTGGCTCATGGGGCCCCTAAAAAATTTAGAAAATTAATATTTATCTGCCCCTGGCTACCTGTCAAAGATGACAAGGCGCCAGCAACAGCAGGACCCAGGGGCAGCAACAGCAAGGCCCCCCCAGCCCCCCCCCCACTGTTAGCCCCCATCCTCAGCTGGAAGCTTCTGCCCAGAAGAGGCTTCTGGCCTGGGACCCTGGGGCTGTTCCCTGCTTCTCTCCGTCCAAAAATGGAGAATCAGGTAAGAACGGGTGGGGGTGGGAGGAGGCTTACCGGCGCACCAGGAGGCAGCCTGGCCCAGCCAGCAAGACTGTGGTTTCCAGCTGGTTCCTGCTGTGCCATGTGGTCCCTGCCCTGCAGCCGGGAACTGCATGGTGCTGGAGCGGCATGTGGGTGGCAGTGGGGCGAAGCAGTGACAGCAGGCAGAGAAGGAAGGGAAGCAGCAGGGGAAGGGCAGCAGCGGCAGGTGTAGGGGGAAAGTGGCAACAGGAGGGAGCACAGGGCCTCGGGGGTCAGGGCCAGTGGCAGCAGGAGCCAGTTGGGAACTGTGCTGCCAGGAGGGGTCCAGTGGCTCTGTGCCGCGCTGCGCGGTTCTTGGCTGCAACTCTGAGACCGCAGAATGCAGCAGGACCCAGCCCGGCCTCCACAGTTCCCAGCTGGCTCCTGCTGCCTCTTCTATTGCAAGGTCCATGTGCCTGCAGCTCTCGCCTTGGAGCCAGCTGCCTTCCCTGCCCCCTGCCACACAGGTCCTCGGACTCTGCCAGGCCAGGAGTGGAAAGGGCCCTGCCAACCACTTCCCTGCGGGGTCTAGCACAGGGTTTCCCCAGTGTGGGAGCTGCAGGCATGTGGCATGGAGCCCCTGTGATAAAGCAGCCGGGCAGGCTGGGCCTCTCAGCCCCTGCTCACAGCACTGGTCAGAGCTGCTGGGCGCCAGTGCCTGCACCTGTCATGAGCTCTTTGAGCCCCTCCTCCTGCTGCTGGCAGTAGGGGCTGTGCACCGTGGGGAGGAGGGGGGGTGGCAGGCTCCTCACACCCCACTAACCTCACACACCCACACCTTGTCCCCACAACCCCCCACATATGTACACACCCCAACATACCTTATGTCCCCCCACACCCCACCATACACAGACACAGTATAAAAGAGTGAGTTTATTTTTGAGTTATTATGCAATCCCTTCTATATACAGTACACAAACACAAATCATGACCAATATTTTTTTGTAATTAAAATATGTTGTAGTAGGTGTTTGATATCTAGTGTACGATTTGTTTTTTTTCTGGTTCTAAGATGGCAACCCCACCCTCCCTAAAGAAGTATTTCTGTGGGGGTGAGGGGAGGGATGTCTGGTGGCAAAGGTCAGGGGTTAGGGGGTGGGACTTCCAGTCCCAATACGGGGACCAGAGGGCGGGGCAATTGTCAAGGAGCGGGGCGGCCCATGTGGCCCTCGATAGTTCACTAAAACTTGTTAAGCAGCCCTCCAGCCAAAATAATGGCCTGCCCCTACTGTTGTCTCTCTAGAAGGCTACAGTACAAGCTCCTGGTCTTTCATAGCTGTCTTGTCCCGCATTAAGTCTGTGCATGTTCCCATTGTTGTGGGTAGACAGCAAGACAGTCCTATCTTAAGGATGTCCCTGCCTACTATAGAGGTTGCATAGTTCATGCATTACAATTCCAAGCATTGTTTTTTGTACAGGTTACAGTATTTGTGTGATTCACAGGTGTTTTATAGTTTACAAAAAATTACTGCTGTTTTATTTAGCAACTGTGGTGCTTAACCTGGCTAATTTTGCCTTCTGTATTTGAGCCTAAAGCTGCCTAATATTATTCAAGTTCTTGTGATTTAAGTTTTGTTCCTAACTTTACCTTACCTAATAATAGACTTATTTGTAGTTATTGATGTGAGTCTGTAACTGCAGCCATTAAATCCTTCTTAACCTAGATATTTGCATGTGTATGGTGTTAACAAGATTTTCAAGGTTTTGAAAATAAGTTTGGCTGACTTTTGGACCTTGGAACACAAATTAGATTTGATTCTGAGCCATTTTCAACCCCAGTTTACAAAGGATTATTTACAAAACCTTCAAATTTACTGCTTGCAAGGTCCCATATTTTTCACTCCCTAGCAGAGAACCTTGCAGAAGGCAGGACTGAAGATTTAGTTAATGCATAGAATAAAAACGGAGGAAGGGGTGTTCAATTTTATTTTTAAGGACTGGTATGTCATTGACTTAAATGAGACGAGGATTTGTCCTTTAACAACTATGTGAGTAGATTCATCCAAATTTGTCCTATAAAGGCCTTTTTATCATGAATCTCTAAAGATTAAATTCTTAACATTTCAGTTGTGCCATTATGGTCGTATACAAGACTTTGTTTCTAGCAGTGGAAGATATCCAACATTAGATGCTGTGTCTGCCCTCTTCTCCCCCTGCCTTCTCCAGACCAGAGTGACTCCAAGTGACTCCAGTCCCTGGAAGGCATGGGAGCATTTCCCTGCAGCACAATTCCTCTTGGTCCCCAGGACTTCTGCTGGGTTGGAGCTATTTTTTTCTCCCAGAACTGCCATTTTTGATTTGGGAAAAACAGCATGAACATTTGTACACTTGTGATTTCCAATAGGAGAATGGTGATTTTCCCCTTGTATGTGGCCTATATCTTGTATCTAGCCTTTCTTGTTTCAGCATTATACTCCTCTGATTAGTGCAGTATCTTCCCAACTGGCTTTTTTCTATCCACAGAATGCTGCTACTAAATAAGTCTGTCAGTTTAATCCCATAATTCCCCACTTTCTGAATCAATCCATTGACTTTTATTCAAGAAAACACCAAATACAAGTTTCTTGTGACTACTTCAAACTCTGCGGAACTCTGCTTTTCCTTCTTTCCTGCTTTCCTTGTTTTCCCTCCATCCCCTCCACTCTGTCACTATTTCTAAACTTGTCCACACTGGTCATATACTTAAACTGCCACCTCTGTGGCTTTTTCTTGGACTCCTTCTGCTCATCTCTGAGTCTCTTACTTTGTCAACATTTAGCCCCTTTTTAAAACAGTTTTGCCTTTCTGCCTAGAGTGGCTGGCTTGTATATAAATTGTAGATAATGTCTGTTGTTGCCCTTCCCCTTCTGTGTGTCCATCTGTCCTCGGAACAAAAACTGTTCTTAAGATTTTGGAAAGGGTAGCAGAAATAAACAAGAAAGTATAATGAAAAGTTTTAAAATAGGATGTAGTAAATGGAGTTTGCAGTATTCATCTTGGCAAATATTGGATTTAATAGGATTTTTTTTTAAGGTAACATGTATTTTTGATTACTTTATCTTGTTCTTCTATTTCAATAGACAACTAAATTTACAAGTGCTTTGGATATACCAGTAGAATTTATAGAAAAGAATGTGAAACTACGGGGAAGATTACGTCACATAACAGAGAAGGGATTAGAAATTGAACATATTCCAATCAGCCTTCCTCTCGTGTCCTCATTACAGAGAAAATGTAAGTAAAAGAGCAGGATTAATAATGACAAAATTACATGTCTGCCTATTTAATAGAATTTTCTTCACTAAGCTGTCAAAAATCTGTAAAACTTGAGCTGTTTGATCTTTTAAAAACTTTTCTGTGAATGACGTGTCCTTGGAAACAGCTGGGTATATACTACTTGGAAGCGTTTTGTCCGCACACTTACAGTTGTGCAGTTGCCATGCTGAACTTAGGAACTGAGCATCTGAATGCTGTCTGTCCCTCATTTGGTGTGTTGCAGTGGCTACCTTACTTCTCCTCTTTGTTTTGGCCTCCCTGCCAGGATAATGAGGTGGATTTGTAAATCTCTGTGGACATTTTAGGCATTTATGTGGTCCTGTACAAGTTACCACCCTAAGCAGTGAATCTTCCTCCTTCTCAGCAATATATTATGTAGCAGGCAAATACATATCTGTATAAAATAATGGACATGCATGGGTGTTTGTTGGGTAATGGCCTGAATTTTTAAAATGCATATCTTAGAAACAGTGATCATTTTTAAAAGAACAATGGAAATTGAATAAGGATTGAAAAATGCATCGAGAAATTCGTGACTACATTATGAAGTTTGGCTCTGATTCTTGCCTCTGCTGAAAGTCTTTTAGGGTTAACTTCGGTGGTATGCAGGTGTTATAAAGATAGTATACCCTCTGGTTTAACATGAAACATTTAAACAATACAACTGGTGTGAGAATGGTTGCTACTGAAAATCTGGAGGTACTGCAAGTTTCAAAGCAGACATGGGCATTTAGGACTAGGATTTACAAAGTAGTCTTAAAAGCATAAGTGAGTTAACACAGAAAATCTGTTGATATTAAATAAAGAAAATGAGAATTTTCGCTGTTTCAACAGATAGGATTAAAAATAGCTTATATGAGAGATCCTGAACCTATAAGCATGTATGTTAGCTAATTTCTAACTGAAGGGGTTCAGAAACTACTTACTATATGGATTGTTTTTGTATCCAGCTGAAGCACTTGCTAGAATTTACTACTGGAGAAAGGATAGTGGCCTAGATAGGCCACTGATCTGATCCCATATGAGAAATCCTATATTCATAACTCCTCTGATTCCTGGGATGTTGCATAATGCCAGTGGATCGCAGATCAATGCATTTTGTTTTGAAAATTACAACTTAATGAAAAGGCCTCTTTAATATATTTATTGATGAATAAGAAAATCAGAAAAATCAAGCTGCACTGGTAACTTTCGCTGTATCTTCTCTATGCTGGGGGATTTATTTTTACATATAATTTAAATGGTATTATCTTTGCACAAATCTTGCTGTAACCAGTTCTGCAGTTTGAAAGATGTTATCAGAGGCCTGGATTTGAAGTGTTTTGATATCATTGTTATGTTGGGATAAATGTCAAGAAAAATGCTTTGGATTTTGATCTTGTGTCAGTCTTCTGTTTGTGTGATGCAATATATTGTAACAGAGTGAGACAGAGGTGAGAGGGGGCAAAATCAGATTTTTTTAGGAAGTAATATTTTCTAAAGAAAATTTTGAGATTAAGTGTTACAATATAATATCTGGGAACCTTTCTTTTCTTGGTGTGGAGTACATCTGTGTGCTAGGATATGTTCTTAAACTTCCATAGCTTTTCTGACTAATGTGGAAACTCAATTTTAATTGGGGGAGGTGGACTAAGTTGATTTACAACAGCTGAGAAGCCAACGAAGTATGAGGAATTGTCTTTTGTATATAATTGTATAAGAACAATGCTAAGGAAGAATTCATGTTATATTTATTCAGGGCAATCAAATGGCCTTTTGCTGGTCAGACTTGCAGGAGTGGAACTGACGCCAAGAGGTATGGTCTGGTTGCAAGAAGAGTTAAAACCATCACAAGTGATGTGGTTTCAGCTTCTTGGACGGAATAATTTGGTGCTTGACTGCCTTGTTTCAATTAATAAGGTAAATGAAGTAGCAAGGAGGAATAGAGGAAGTTCTTAAATAGTGTATTTATACTTCTAAGATTTTCTGTGATTATGGTGTGAAATTACATGTCCTTGTCATAAGGTTATTGCATTAAAAAAAATACATGCTGGAATTTATGCTAGTAAGTATCTTTCCAGATATATGTACGTAACTAGAATTGAAAATATGTATTTCTGAACTGAGTTGACAATGTTAGTGTAGTTTTTAGTCACCTTTAATAATTCTCTTTCCTGCTAAGGTTTGCAGAAGCCAGATCTGCAGTTTAGTGCCCTGCAGTGTCATAAAAGAGTTTTAATTAGTCAAAAGTACTGATTTATGAAATTGTCCCATTGATGCCTAGGATAGGTTTCTTGTAGAATTAATTCATTTAAAAATTAATTGAATTCCTTCTAACTTCTAATGTTTTTTTCTGAAAAGTTTAGAACTTGTAAAGGAGAGTTTTTTCCTAAATTGCAATGTCTGGGCAATTCGTACAAAGAATTACGTAAAAATGTACTGGCATTGTCCTTTGTATAAATCCAAGTGAATACAAAAATGAAATGACACCTTTTACTTTGTTTTTGTAGAGTAGATTTTTCAGCATATGCTTAAATGAAGAGATTTTGAAGCAAGGGCTTGGCAAAACAACACGTATTGAAGGACTGCATCATGGCTCTCAACTCTATTGGAAGCTTCACAAAAGATTTATTCGAGCAGAACTAATGGCAGTGAAGAAAAATAAAGGAATATGGAAAGAAAAAAGTAACCTTGAAAAAATCAGAGATCAAATAAGTAGTAATAAATTTGTACAAATGTTAAAACAATTTGCAAACTGGTTAAGAAGCCATATTTAAAAAATTACATGGGAAGAACCGGTTGAGAAAATGCCTTTGATATTGATCAAAGTCCACGTTGTAGGTATAAATGCAACACAAAAGCTTATGAGAAAAAACTTATTCTCTAATTTTTGAGGCTTCTTCCTCAAATAAAAAAACCCAGAAAATTATCTCAGTAACCTCACCTAAAAAGACATTTCTATAAAGTCTTGTATAAGATTAAAGTTCAAAGTGAAGATATTTGTTAAGGTGTTTTTAGGTCAAGATTAAAAATAAACAAACAAAACTTCCTTTAGACTGTTAGGTCAGATTTTCAAAGGTACTAGACTTCTGCACAGGTGCAATAGTTTTAGTGGAATTTGTAGAAGATTACAAATACAAGATATTACAGAAATATTAGTGCATAGTATACTCCTTAATTATATAACAGTGAAATAGATATGAAAGAAAAGTCTGCCTGAAAAGTGAAATTTAGTTTTAAGTAACTCTTGACAATACTACTTACTTTTTTGCATTTGTGTTGCACATGACCATTTGTTTGGGGCCCGCACAAGAGAACATATGCCCACTTTGTATTATTTGTGTATTTTTAAAATATGTACATGTTGAATAACTAGTTATACTATATTGTTAATAGAAAATGTGACAACAGCTTTTCTTAAAAAGAAGTAAAAAAGCTTCTACCTCAAGACTTCTAAAAATTTAACTTGGAAGCAGAATATATAAGAAGTTAGTATATCAGTGGACTACTTGTTAAACTGTTTCTTTACTTGTAGCACAGCAGGTTAAACCTATAAATTACAGGATTTATAGCTTGTAAATAAGGAAAGAGAAAAGATAGCTAGTTCTTTCTGTTTCACTTATGAAAGCACACACAATTTTAATTTAGCTCCTCAACTATCTCATCACTTGAATAAGATTTTGAAACTGAAGTTTAAAAGGTCAAAGTATAAAAATGCCTTAAATTGAAAATTCTTGATCTATATCTGTAGACTTTAAAAAAATACAATGTATTGAAAGTATATGTTAAGTATATAACTGAAGGTATCATAACTGTATTTGAAAATATGTCAGAATGAAGTTTTGGGTATATTGTTATGATTATTATTTTACACTCAAGTTCATTGGTCTGTGTTCATCCATTAAATTAAATAACATACAATAAATTTCATATTTTTCTCCATTCTTACATTTAACTACAATTTCTTTAAACTTGAGATTGTTTTCTTAACATGTTGCTATTCCAAATAATAAATATTTAAATTAAAACATACAAAGCAAATCTTTTAAACTCTTTCCTTCCTTACCTTTCCATGTGGTTTCTTGCTATTCAAATATTGGGAATGGGTAGTATAAATGCTAGTTAGCTAGCTAAGCTTTATTCCTCTTAAAGTTGGCTGCAATCATGCCATCCTTTTCCCCTGGCTAGAAAACAGTTACAGCTTTACAGCTGCTGAAGAAGCACCCAGTGGTAGCTTCAATAATTAGCTAGCAATTTCTACAGAAGGATTAAATATGGGGGGGGAAGTAAGGTATAGCCAAAAAAATCCCCACCATTTTTCTTTCAATATTTAGCATATGGGAGGTTTTTATGATCCTGATTACTAGCTTTCCTTTGTCTAGAACTGGCAAACTGGTGTTAGGATAGGATACATTCTGTTCAGAGCAGGACAGGCTGGTAATTCCAGGATATATGGAGAGAAAAAGACCCAACTTTTTCTTTAAATCTTGTCATTTTAGCTGTTACTTGAAATGTGGCATGTTCATGTAAAAGAAAAGATTGCAGTATACCTGATAGGTTGGATGGGACTTTAAATAGTATATTGTATGTATATTTGGCAAAATTGTGTTCTTAAAAAGCCCAATATAAATTGCTCTGCTTGAGCTTTAATATTTGTGACTTTTTCACTGAGACATATTACTTCAGCTTTCCTATTTTTGCAGATCTTGCTTGTGTTAGAATAAAGTGTAAAGGAATTTGTATTGGTTGAACATTCAAACGGGTAGAAATATAGCCATAGATACTATGAAACCTGCTTTCTATGCCCAATTTTCTGACTAACAAGATTAAAAGTATATGATAAATGGGAGTGTAAGAAATTTTATCTTTTCCAGTTACTTCAGGTTTCCAGTGATGTCATGAAATACTTTTAAAAAGAACCACCCCCCCTGCTTATTCTGTCCAAAAAAGTACTTGTGTCATGGTACTACCTGCCTCATACCCATGTAGAATTCCTACTAACAATATCTTATTGCACAGATTTTAGTTGTCTGAACCAAAACCACTGAAATTCTGGCTTGTATTGCTGTTTAAGTACTTTAACATTTTTATATGAACTGTTCCTTATTCCCAAGTCGCTGGTTCCTGTAGTAAGGTGACAAGAAGCTTTGTGGCCTCAATTTTAGACTTTTCATCATAGCAAGAGGACAGAAAAAGAAGAAGGAAGACGGGGGCGGCAAGTGATTTTTTTTTTTTTTTTCCATTGGTGATTTTTCATTATCTTCCATTTTTTAATAGCCCTCTTGCCCAGGAAAATTTCCTCCCAATCATCAGATTGTATGTATAATACAATAATAAGAATAATGATATTATTAGGTTACCTGTACCTATCTAGCAGGAACATACCACACTTCACTGCTGAGCTTCATGTAAACTCATGGTCTCAGGAATAATTCTTTTTTACTCTGTCACTTATGGATTTTTTTTCTCTTCCTTCACTTGCCATTTAGAACCAGCTTTCCTAGACTAAAGCATAATTATGCATACCTATATATAGGCTTTTAATGGGACTCCTCACTGCTGTGTTTTGAGTGCCTTACAAATGCCATCTGTGTGTTTCAGTGGGCTCATCTACAAGAGACGTACTGTGGAATTGCCTAATTAGCACCACAATAAATGTCTTGGTATCTACAGGTGCAGGGCTATTAGCTAGGAGTAAACTAATAAACTTCGGCAAGGTAGTACTTGTAAATATAAGTACCATCCTGCTGTGGTTTTGTTTAGTCTGCAGCACCACCTATGTAAATGCTGACTCAGCTGCCTGGGGCATGAGGGTGCTTCAGTGCAGGGGCTGCCTGCTGGGTAGCCCTGCACTCGAGCACCCTTATGCCCCAGCCAGCCCCTCTGCAATACATTGAGCCAGACCTGGGCAGCCTCAGGCTGGCAGGCTAACTAACCCCCTTGGGCCCCCTGCCAGCTGGGGATCCTCTGACCCAGCTCAATGTGCTGCAGTCCTGGGTCCATATGGAAATGTGGTGCCTGGGAACAACAGACTCCTATGCAATATGTGCTGGAGTTTATTGCATTGTGTTAATATGCATGTGTTTATTGTATTATGTTAATATGCATCCAATCAGTATTACCCCTATTTTACAAGTGAAATGCAGGGCAAGAGTGAGTGGCTTAGGCAATGGCTGATAGCAAGTTTGTGTCCCTACTGAGAAGGGACTCTAAAGGTGAGATTTTGTTGCATTTCACAGGTACAGACCAAAGAAACTAAGCCACCTTTGACCCTTTCCTAGTCTCGATTTTCTCTAAAGGATGCAGCACTACCACAGCACAAGTTAGAAAGTTCCCCAGAGCTGCTTAAATTACAGCATGTGCTGTCCCGTGGACCACAGCACTGTTCCTAGTGTAGCCCAGGTACACCCAAGGGGGTGAGCCCTGTCCTCCAATGACAGTGGTGGTGGTCAGGCAGGGTGCTGAGGAAGGAGTCAGCTACTAGAGTCGCTTCCTCCCCTCTCTGTAGAGCTAGGCTGAAACCAAGTACTTAACTACATACAATTTATTACAAGAAGAAATACCAACACTTAGTATAAAACATAGAATATTTACAAAGCTTAACATATAATACTATATATAATATTCCACAATTCACATATAATACCAAATATGAATCAAATAACTTACAACCTATACAACAAAATTAACACATAGGGATATTAACCTATGTAACCCAATTAAACTAACAATAATATTACTTTAAACCTTCACAAATAACAATACCAATATATACACTGAGGCATTAAACCATACGAACCATATAAACCCCCTTAAAGAATACCCCTAGCTATGTAGCTTTTAACACAACGACAACCTCAAAATAGGGAGTGTGCTCAGCACTTCCCTGAGGGGCTTCCCTGAAGCCCCTCTCCTTTAGGGTCCTGGGACGTGGACATGTCCCTCCCACAATAGAGGGTGGAGGTGGCAGACACTTCTCACCTGTGTCAGCCTCCCCTGCGGGGCCTGCTTTCCCAGCAACTCATGCTTCCTCTCTGGAGAAGTCACGGTTCATCCCATGGTGGCCAATCTCCCCAGTGGCGCCTTCGGCTCTCCTCGATGGCCTGGCACCCCGCACCAGGCAGGCAGGGCTCACTCTCATGGAAGCTGAACCCTTACAGGCTCCGACTCCCCGGTCTCACACCAGGGTTCTCCCCTTTCCCCGGCCCTGCTGTGGGAACTGGGGCTCTTTTAGTTAAAGGTGGAGCCGCGCTGCAGGGCTCCAGTCACTCAGCCTAGGGCCAGGGCTAATGTGAGCAGCCTCAAGCTGCTTCCAAGGCAGTTCTCCATGAGCTGACCTGTGCGCTGGGTGAGGCCCGAGCAGCCACGAGCTGCTTCCAGGGCCAGCTCTCCATGTGTCAATCTGCACACCGTGCGGGGCCTAAGCAGCCTTGAGTTGTTCCCAGGCCCAGCTCTCTGTGTGCCGATCTGCACACCAACTGCCCAGCCGCTTGCCGGGTTCACAGGCCCAAGCCACCTTGAGCAGCTCCTAGAGCCTGATCCCTGTGCGCCATTTCACTCATCACTGGAACTCAAGCAGGGTCCCAAGGATGGCTGTCTCCAGAGCTCCTCTCTCCTCACTGTCCCTAGTCATCTCTCCCCACCATGCTGAGCACACTCCCCTTTTATACTCTTCAGGGGCTCCGCCCCCGAAGTTCTCTGGACCTGGCTGGCGCAGCTCCGATTCAGGGCCAGCTGCTCCTTGCCCCCTCCCTTCGGAAAAGGGTGGGGCATTGCTTCCCTTGTGCTGCCTCCAAATTGGTGGGTGGGCTCCACTAATCAAACAGCAGACCCTCAATCCTGGGACTCAACCCAAGCCCCGAAAAGGTAAGCCCTACTACACTAGCATGCTACCTACACCATGACTGATGAGATGGTTCTTTGGTGGGAGCCTTGGGGCTGCCTCTACTGCAGCATCTTGGTGGAGGAATCATTCTCCTAGCCAGAACTGGGGGGTTTAAATTTCACTTACACCTTGTCTTGTCTTTTGAGTTTAGTCCAAGGGCAGGCAATTATTTTGGGCAGAGGGCCGCTTACTGAGTTTTGGAAAACCATTGACGGCCGCGTTACAGACACCCCAGGGCAGATTATTATTAATTTTCTACATTTTTTAGGGGCCCCACGGGCCAGATAGAATGGCCTGGCAGGCTGCATCTAGCCCCCAGGCCACGTTTTGCCCACCCCGGTTTAGTCTCTTCTCTATACCTCTTCTTTTGTCTGTTGACTGAAATCAAAGATAGAGGTGTGCTACATATGCAGCAGCAGACCCTAATTCAGATCTGCAAAATGAATTCAATGTAAGAGATGAGAACTGTAACAAATAGCTGTTTTTATTTGTGCTTAACTGCCTGGCTTATAAAGAGTAATGTAGCCCAAAGGATATCCAAGGCTATATTTTCATTTGGGGGATTCTGGCGGCAGCAGAGTTCACAAAAGACAAATCCTGTAATTGTTTATGTTAATGATATTTTTCTTATCATTCAGGACTTATCTATAAAAAAAATCTCCATTCAGGAAAAAAATAGCCATGCCCTTTCATGCTGTGCAATCTTGAAAGGTTGCAGATCTTGTCTCTGTGGGAGGCCGATCTATTCAGAAGCTGATAATAGAGGAGAAACAAACAGCTCTGCAGAAGTAAGTTGTGGAGCTGACTGGGAGGTAGTGGGGAAGACAACACTTTCTGCATATGCCAGTATGTTGTATTGTAGCTATGAGAAGATCTCTTCCTTTTCCCACTGCCACAGTAGTGTTGCACATGATGAGGCTATTTCCAGATGAAGTACCTGCATGAACAGGGATGCGGTAAGGCATAAGACAAAACCATGTGGGCCCAGCAGGGCTATTAGGTTGGAGGGTCTCTGAAAGTCTGTATACATTATAAACAAACCAAGCTCTTAACAGGGAATGGAAATTGGAGGGATGCCTCCAAATGACTGTTTAAAAAAAATCTTCAGGGCTACATGGCCCCTTTACTGCCATAGAGGGTATTAAAGAGCAAATGGCTGTCATAAACAACTCTCCCTGGCAACCATTCCCAGCTCTTTCAGGACTTTTCTAGCAACTTTGGACCATAGACAGAAAGGACTTTAAAAGGGCTAATAATAAAGCTGCATTATTAGGGGCCCTCACTGCACATGTGGCAATGAATATCCTTGCCCAAAGATTTAACCCTTGTGAATGTTATGCCATTTTCTATGCATACCCGATGCTGTATTCTCAAACAGCAGAAGAAAGAGACAGCAAGAAAATGTCAACCTTACACAAGAGTGAAATGAAAAAAGCTGAAAAAGGAGTCTGATTTTCTCATTTTCTCTCTGGCTAGTAAAACCCACACAGATTCCTTTAGACAGACTCTTCATACCCACTGGAGGCATCTCTAGATATAAAAATAAATTACTACACTAAAAATAGGGATTTGCTGAATTTTGACTCTCTTCATCGTGGGGTTCTTGGAGTCAGAGGAAAACTCAAAAGGTTGGTGAAAGATCAGAGATATTCCATGTCACAGGGGCATCATATTCATGTTGGTGACATGGCCGAATTCTATTTTCTGTTACCATTTGTGGGCAAGTAGAGTCTGGCCATGTGCCTCGATGCCTTCTCCACTGTAAATTTCTCTCCCTGCATTGAAAACTTACATTAAAACAGAGATTCTGCACAATGGCTGTATATACACGTGCTGATTCACGTTTTAATCAGTGAACATGCCAGTGTAAGTGAAACACACCAGCATCGCCTCATCATCGTTTTAAAACCTGTGAGTTTAAAAATGACCGCTGGAGTGCTTGATCTAAATCTCAACAAATGAGGCTTAGAAAAAGCATCCTGTGGCCATTTTGAAAACTGTGGGGGCTTAGGGCTTAATACATTTGATAGCAAGGCGTTTTAATTAGAGTCTCTCTCCAGGAATGGCTCTAATTAAAAGCTGCCCCCTCCCCACCCCATCACCTACCCTACAGCACATGGTATAGGCAGCCAATGTGACTGCCACAAAAAACCCAACTTTGGTTCTGTCCTAGGATCTTAGGCAACATGTGGGGAGGGGGGGGGGATTACAGGGGCATGTGCCCTCCCTGGATTTCTGTGCTGACAGTGGGATGCGAGGTTGCAGCCCAGCTTGATCCAGTGCCTGGCAGTGGCACAGAGTTGTGCCCTCCCACCATCAACACTTGTGCATCATCTATCCTCTGGTTTGTTTAACTGGTTGCAAAATATGGGCCAAATTATGGCTGCCCATGGGTAAGTGTGTTTGGAGTGAAAGTGTATCTGGAATCTCTTTACCCCTCTGGCCAATACACACAGAACATGACTATTGTGCTGCTTGTATTGTTGCTAGTACTTAGGAATGAAATACCAGATGTGTGTATAGTAAATGTCAGCAGAGTGATTGCCATCTTAGCTGTGTGGTGGGTGCATAAGAGCAGAATGGGTGAGGGTGGTGTGACTACATGTACAGTGAGTTTGACTTGGAAGGAGTGAAGATGGGAAAAGTGCTGGGAGAATGAAACTTAACAGTGAGCCACAGGAGAAAGAGCTGGAGGGTGCTAGGGTTTGATTTTGCTCTCATGCGAGTTTCACAATGACTTCTGTGATTTCACTCCAGGTTTACACAAACGTAAGTGAAAGCAGAATCATGCCCAGGACTTAGGATAGGGGTGGGCAAAATACAGTCTGGATCTGGCCCTCCAGGTGACTGGATCTGGTCTGCAGGGGGTGCCCACCAATTGATTGGATATGGCCTGTGGCTGCCCAAGTGGTGCCTGCATGGGGCCAAGCCCCGCCTGGGACAGCTTGCACGGCGCTCCATCCCATGCCCACCAACCTAGCCCCAGCCAGCACTCCCAGCTTCCAGCTGGGCTGCTCCCGATGCAACTGCTGTTCAGCCCCCCTTGCCTGCAGTGACAACTCCTTCTCCTGCTCCTGCTGTGCCGCTCTAGGCCGAGAGGAAGCTTCAGCTGAGTGGCTCCTGCCCGTGTGTGGAGTTCCAGCTGCAGCTCCTGGGCAGGCAGAGTGGGTGGCAGCCAGCCAGGAGCTACAGCTGGAGCTGTGCATGCTGGGGCAGGAGTTTTGGTGAGTTGTGGGGGAGGGTGCTGACCCAGCTTGTGATAACTCATGAAAACTCCCTATGTTGTCCACCCCTAACTTAGGAAGAGGCTGAAAAGAGAGAGAAAACAGCACGATGACACCAGTTTTAGGCTGATATTCCTTCATTGACTTTAGCGGAAAATTGATCCTGGGATGTGCAAATCCAGAAGAAGTAATGTGAAAGAGAAGAATACAGCTACTCCTCGCCTAACATCATAGGTACATTATTGAAAAATGTAACTTTAAGTGAAACAATGTTAAGTGAATCCAGTGGTGTCACAGTAGTTACCTACTAGCAGGTGGCAGCCAAACAACGTTATAACCGAACGTTGCGTGACTTTAAACGACTATGTTCCCTAATAGATCAGCGACATTATAATGAAACAGCATTGACCGGGATGATGTTAAGTGAGGAGTAGCTGTATAACATAATAAAAGAACACAAGAGAAATTAGGGGAAAGGAAAAAACAATTCAGCTGAGAGAGAGAAAGATAGCATAAAAGAAAAAAGGTCAAAAAGGTATGGCTTCATCACAGTAGCAATTGCTTTTTCATATATTTCTTATATTACACTGTATTTTAGAGACAGCTCTAAAAATGACACGACTGATAGATTTAGATTTTTTTCAAAATTACATTTGATCCTGTTGATGTCTCTGCTTCCCCTTTGTGACTCAGAAGGGAGACACCGTATTTTATTAAATTACATCAATACACTTAAAGCCAGCTCAGTTGACAAAGTTCAAGCAGCAGGTGTAGCTGATAGGAAAGTAATTACTGGCACTGCCTGCTGATGGACTGAAGAGCCATCCATCCAGAAGTACCAACCTTTATTTTCCATGCATTTGCCATCTGTTATTGTGCTAGTAGCAAATAATAAATTATATATTGATATGTTTCTATTCATGTTCTTTGGGTTTTTAGGTGCCCCAAACTTCCCTAGTGTTTAACACACTACTGAGGTTAGGATAAAGTTTCTTTCAGTTGGCCCATGATGCTTTGCTGTGAAATTGCAATAGCCTCTGCTGAATTGACTGACACCAATGGGCTGTTTCTATGGTATCAGCCAATCAGCTGCTGGACAGAGATGAAAAGGTGAAACTTAAGATGCTGCTGCAAGAGGTCACATTACTCCCCCCTCAGCTCCCCTCCTCAGATCTGTCTCCCAGCCTGACAAATTGAACTGACAATAATGCTCTCACAGCCCATAAAGTCCAGAGAAGCGTTAGCATGTCTTTCAGTTCGAGAGCAGGAAAGAAATTAAAACTTAATAACTTCGTCTTGGGATTTTAGCGTGGTAGAAATCTACCGTTTGATGAATCCTCTGCTAGAAGAATGATATAATTATCCCATATAGGTGTAGGGGAATGTGCTGAGTGTTCAGCAGAGGGCTGATCATCTCTATTTTATGTGATCCTAACAGGAAAAAAATGGTTACAAATTTTAAAGGAACGAAAAAAATTCTTCCTTTTTTAATGGGTGATGAAACTGAAACTGCTTCTCCATGTAATGGGAATTGCAAGATTACTGTTGCACATTGCGGCAATGTGACCCCAACTTTTGGAGATTTCTCTTATTGGAGGAAAATTTGAAATAGAAATTGAATGAAAAGCTGCTTCTACTCCCATAGACTTTGAACTAGCAAACAATAGGGGCAGGTTGAATAGAAGCAGAGGCAAGAAAACGCTGGAATACCTGGTGCTGGATCAGCAGCCTGTTCCAGAGGCCTTGGATAAAGCAGGAAACCAGCTCCTGTCAGAAAAGAGGAACCAGCTTCATGCACTGTAAACATTTAAAGTGGACCCTCCAAAAGGTTTCCACAGATCTTGCTTCATTTTTTTGCAGAGAAGGCAATTCAGACAGGCATGCAAGGGTCCCAGTGCAGCCGGATCCCAGAAATGCGGCTGTATCAATGTGCCCCAAGGTGACAGGGAGCAGAACAGCAAGGGGAACTAAGTGCCCTCCATTAGACACCACAGAGAGGAAGTCTCCTGGCAGACAGGGATCATACAAGGGCCAACGGACACTGTCCAGTGTGCTCTGCTTGGAGCCCTCCATCGGTCCTCCCTCATTTTGAGCCTTCACTCCTGTCCCTGTTTTCTTCTTCAGTCACATGAGTGGGCGCCCAGATTAAGGGGGGCTTGTAGCTTTACTTGGAGCCCATGCTCCCAACACACACCTCATAGCCCTCACAGGCAGGGAGAGCAGCAGGGCTCTGTCCTTTCTCCCCTCTCGCATAGTAGCCCGCAAGGCTTACAGTCTGGGCTCAGCCCATTTGATGGTAGGTGCTCTGGCAATTTCTTTGGCCCGGGAGCTGCCTGGTGTCTAGGGGACAGGCTGGTGCAGGATTCACTTATCCCACTCAGCTCTGATTTCCCTTGTTCTCTGTGCCTGGGTGGAGGGCAGGTGGGGCGGGATGGGATGGCTGCCTCCTGGACCCAGTGCTTCTCTCCCTGTTGGTGAAATAAGCCTCCCATTGCCTGTCTCTGGGGGGCTGAGGAGCTCAGACTTCAGATCCCCAGGGCCTGCACGTCCCCTAACCGTCCTCGATGTTTCTAGAGTCTAGGCACCCCTTCCAAGACTGGGGGGCTCCCTTGATGGGCTGAGGCGCCCCGCGGAAAATGCCAGCTCTTACTTTTCACTCGGTGTTTTCTGACTGCAGGAAGACAGCAGCGCCACTCTGCCCTGGCAAAGGCCCCGGGACCAGGGCAGGATCCCTGTCTTACCCCGCGGCTCCTGCTGCGCGGCCCCGAGCGCACGTGGCCGCCCCCCGAAAGGCTCTCGAGGCGCCCCCCGCGGGAGGCAGAGTGAGGAGGCTGCGGGCCCTGCTCCCGGGGAGAGGCCGGGGCCCCTGGGCCAGGACGAAGGGAGGCAGCAGGGCGAGCGGGTCCCCG